AGTGTTTGCCCAGGGAGGTAGCTCAGGGGGCAGGAATGCATAGGAAAGAAGGACACAGAAACGGTAACCACAGGGAGGAAGTGGGAAGAGAGCTGTTACATGTTGGGGAATTGCAGTCAATGTCAGGCAAGAAAATGTGTACCAACTGCTGTATAGAAAATGAATTTGCTCTGTAAATTTTCACCCAAATCACAATTTAAAAAATTAGGGGGAAAAAAAAAGTGTATGTGTGGGGAACACCAACCCATCCCAGACAAACAGATGGGGAGAGAGCTCTGTCCTCCAACTGGGTTGAGGGACAGGTCATCTTTGTCAAACGAGCAGCTGAGTGGCTCCTTCCCATCTCTTTTGAAAGGGATCAGGCATGCCAACGATCACACTCCAGCGCAGCAGTCAGGCACCACTGGAGGTGGTATGTGTACAGTCCCCACAGGCACAGAGAAAGTCAGAGAGAAGATGGCATCTGGGCGGGAGTAGATAAAAGTCGGAGGAAGAAGGTTACTGCCAACAGAGGCAACAATATGAGACAGTGCCTCATGATCTCATAATACTGTAATACCGCGCCTAGTACCCACGGTCATGGGGCGGGCAGGAATTGAAGGTGGAGCCAGAGCATAAAGGGCCTTGAAGGCCACACACAGGCATTTGGACTTATGTCATGGACGGTAGGGTTGGGGAGAGAGCAGGGGTCTTTGTGTAGGAAGATCCCTTGGAGCAGTGCTGAACCTCAAGAGCAAGAAACTCTCAGGAACTAATCTGCAGCCTCCCAGGATGGGAATGAAGGGTCAGATGAGAGGGTAACTCTTGGGATACTTGCTCTGGCCCAGAAAGGATGTGTTTGGGTTGAGAAATTCCCTTCTGGGTCACTCATGCTAATGGAATGTTAGCAGGCGCAAGGATACAGCCTGCATTGGTAGAAGTCAATGTGACACCAGCTCAGCTTTCGGACATTTCCGTTCCAAGCACATGGTGTGGTTGGCCTGCTGTGGGCTCTTCTCAGGACACGAGCGGGAGTGGGGAGGGGGCTTTGTTGAGAGGAAGCCAGACAGCAGAGAGCTATGCAGACCTGTCTATTCCTCTGTGACCAGGGGAATGCTGCAGGGCTGGTCTGCCCAGGGAGCTCAGCCCAGTCCCCTTGTTCTCAAAACCAGCCCAGCCCAGAATCGCCCTACCCAGGGGAATCTTCTGCTCTGGCTGCCTGGGGGGAGGGCAATTTGGGGTTGGGCTTGAGCCTGGCTGTTCCCCAGGGAAGGCTTTCATACCTTACCAACACCCTCTTGCTTCAGTCTCTAATCCCTTGCTCCACAGCCCCAAGCTTGTCCTCGCCACATACCCGGCCAAATCCCACCCCCTTCTTGGCATCAAATACCAGCCCCAGCAAGACACCCTCTCTGTTCTTTCCTGGCCCTGAGTCTGATCCAAAAATACAGCACTTGATTCTCTGAACAATTTGTCTTTTATAGCACTAACCTTCACCTGGTTCAAGCCATGATATTTTCAGTCACCTCATATGTGCTTGTGAAAGCTGGACAATGAATAAGGAAAACTGAAGAAGAATTGATGCATTTAAATTATAGTGTTGATAAAGAATGTTGAATATACCACAGACTGCCAGAAGAAGGAACAAATCTGTCTTGGAAGATGTATAGCTGGAATGTTCCTTAGAAGTGAAAATGGCCAGACTCTGTCTCTCATACTTTGGTCATGTTGTCAGAAGGGACCAGTCCCTGGAGAAGGATATCATGCTTGGTAAAGAATAGAGTCAGTGAAAAAGGGGAAGACCCTCAATGAAATTGCTTGATACACTGGCTGCAGTGATGGGCTCAAGCATAACAAGGATTGTGAGGATAATGCAGGGTTTCTTTCTGTTGTGCATAGGGTCGTTATAAGTTAGAACTGACTCTGCAGCAGTTAACAAGAACAACTGTTATTACTGCGAAGGCAGAAATTGTGTCTTCTGCTTCTTAAGATTCCCAAAAGTAGAGGCCACTCTTACTTTTGGAGTGTTGAGTGTGCTGAGGCTCTGGAAATAAGAGGAAGATGGCAGGATGTGTTCTCCCAGAGGCTGCCCTCCACGTGCTGAGACACATGGGTCCTGCTCCCCAGTGTCCCTGGACCTGCCATTTGCCCAGGCCTGTGCAGTCCACACAGGACCACAGTGTGCTTTTAGGGCACCTTATAGGCCAGCTGGTGGTTCCTTACATGTTCCAAGAAGGGTACAGGCCATCCTGAGTCTAGGAAAGCTGCTTGGGGACAAAAATGGGGAGAAGAGGCCATGTCAGGTTGGGAAACTTTGTGAGCAGAGTTGCCCTTTTGAGGAAAAGTGGGAAAGGAAAAAATCTCTGCCTTGTGAAAAGAGGACTGGGGCAAATCCCATTCTCTTCTTTCTTTACTAATAAAGCACCATCTAAGAACAAAGTGTGAAAAGGAGCAGTCCCTCCTGAGGCTGCTGGGCCAGGCTGACCAGAGGCCCGAAGCCCAGGTCCCAGCACAGAGGAAAGGAGGTCCAGGACCGTAGCTGAGGGCAAGGTCAGGGGGAGATGTTCTCTGAGGAGGGGTATTCCTCCAGGTCCAGGTGGAAGCCTGGCTTCCCTGCTGCACTCTAAACAGCCTGGGGGCCCTGTGATATCAGGCCTGCACCCACAGCCCTCCCCTAGGTACAGAAGGCCAGTGTGGCATCCTCAGGTGGGCCAGGCAGAGCCACCCAGGCAGCAGTCAGGTTCAGGCCTAATAGTCATGTCGATCTGCTCAGTGGCAATGCCCTTAATAAAAGGGCTTCTCTGCTCACCATTCAGAACTGGGAGTCACAGCCTTGTTCGGGCCTCAGTGGCTCAGCCAGGTTCTCCACAGTCTACCCAGGCAGCTGGTGTGCATCTGTATTGCTGGAAGAACCAGTGGTAAAAATACAGTTAGTCCCTGATTTATGATGGGAGTTCTTTTTCATTGACTCCATCATAAGTTAAGGACCTCTGGTGGCACGGTGTCTTAAGGCGTTTGACTGTTAACCAGAAGATTGGTGGTTCAAACCCACCAGCCACTTCATGGAAGGATAATGGGGCAATCTACTTCCGTCAAGATTTATCACCTCAGAAACCCAGTGGGGGTTGCTGTGAGTCAGAATCAACTCAATGGCTGGATGTGATATCATAAGTTGGTTCTGACATAAGTCAAATACCTCTCTTTTTTTTTTTTTTTTTTTAATGTTTTTGTTATTACTGCCTTTCCTTATGAGTATCTTTATAAATCTGATTATCTTGTCTTTGGGGGTTGGAAATACTACACATAAACTTACAGCTTTAATATTTGAGCTTCCTGCTTCTCTAGTTATACATTATGTAAGCCAAAAAAAAAAAAAAAAACTATAAGTATAGTTCTTTATAACTTACATATTGTAAGCCAGGGACTGCCTGTATTGATAAATAGCTACTGACTTGAACTTCCTAAGTGCCCCTCTGGTAGCGTAGTGCGTAAGGCACTTGACGGCTAGCCAGAAGGCTAGCGGTTCAAACCCATCAGCCACTCCTTGGAAGGAAGGTTGGGCAATCTACTTCTGTAGTGATACCGCCTCAGAAACCCAAGGAGAGGTCGCTATGAGTCCGGTCCAACTCAAGGGCACCACCGCCAACAACAAGTTCCCCAGCTACATTGACCCCTCCTTCAGAACCCCATCCCATCCCTGAAGGGAGGCCACAGGCACACAACTGGCACAGCAGGGCTCCAGGATGCCCCTGGCCCCCAAGCAAGTGTTCTGATTGGTCTGTTAAATATTTTGGCTGTCACTCTCATGCCTACCTCCTCTACTGTGATCCTGCCTTCTGGTGGGACCCAGCCCCTTCCCTCTCTCCCCATCCATGCTAACAGCCACATCCCCCCACCTTTCTTAATCTCATGGGACTCACATTTTCAGGTTGAAAGAAATTCTCTAATTATTCTCTCTTTTTGCACAGTTGCTGTGTTCCTATATGGTGAATGACAGAATTTCATATAGGTTTAATCCTATTAAATATATAAACAGAGCTGGCTATTTTAGTAAATTCAGTGAAAAGTCTTTTGGTAAAATAAAAGATGGCCCTTTTGTGTGAGTGTCAGGAAATAAAGTTTGCAGTTCAATTTAGGAGATGTTCTTTGAGCACGTATTATATTGCCAGCAGTATAAAAAGTTGAACTCTTCCTTTAGGCAGCCTTTTTACCAATTCCTTGTTTAGCCTCATTCATTGATTCTAAGTTGCTTTCTGGGTCTGTTTCTTATACAAAGCCCTATCCTGGGCACTGTGGGGCATATGAGTCTAAACATGGTATCTTACTCTTGCTATAACAGAAATACCACCAATGGGTGGTTTTAACAAACAAATTTTTTTTTCATGGTTTAGGAGACTGGAAGTCTAAATTTGGCACCAGCTCTAGGGGAAGGCTTTCTCTCTCTGCCAACTCTGGGGGCAGGTCCTTGTCTCCTTTCAGCTTCTGTTCCTTGGTTCCTTGGTGATCTTCATGGAGCCTGTATCTTCCCCTCTGTACCTTCCATTTGTGTATCTTTCTCTGTGCTTAATCTGCTCTTTTATATCTCAAAAAGCATTTGGCTTAGAACACACCCTACACTGATGTGGTCTCATTTCATAACAAAGAAAGTCCTATTCCCAAATGGGTTTATTTCCACAAGTATAGAGGTTTAGGATATATAACATATATGGCGGGGGCAGGGGGGGAGACACAATTCAATCCATTCGATCCATAACATATGGCCACGTGTTCAATGGTAAGCCATTTAGCTGAGGATGTGGAGACAGCGAAGCAAGACTCGTAATCACACTTGCCAGTGCTTCAGGGGATCCGGCAGGTTAGGGTATGCTAAGGGGACATGTGGAATGAGCAGGATGGCTACTGACAAATGCAGAAGGCTGCTTCATGCTTTGGCAGTCTGCTGGGGCAGACTCCCTTGGGGTCTCACCCTAGGAGAGCTGGATGAAACAGGCCCTCATTGACTTCCTCTCTTTCTCACCCAGCCTGATGTTCACCAAGGTGAAGCTGGAGCAGGTGCTGAAAGGCCCGGAGGAAGCCCTCGTGACCTGCAGACAAATGCTGCAACTGTGGCAGACTCTGTACAGCTTTTCCCAGCTGGGGTGAGTGGCTGTCATTGTCCGTTGGCTTACCAGACAGTGGAGGGCAGGGTTGGCAGGCATTGGTTGCCAAGCAACAGTCCACAGCTGAATGGCTGTGAGGTTTAGTGGGATGGAGAGGTGAGGACATTTGAATGTGAGAGTGTGGAACTTACTGGTCATGGGGCTTTTTACATTGATGATCTAATTTTAACCTCTTGACAATCCTCTGTGAAGTACATAAAGACCCTATTTAGCAAACTGAAGTTCAGAGGAATAAGAAAGAAGAGCGATCATTATTAACCAGCACCTGGGCCAGGAGCTGAGCTTGTTGCTTTATCTTATACATCAGCTGCTTATATCATACCCATCATCAGATTTTATGCTCCTACCAGTGAGGAAACTGAGACTCAGAGACCTTATAAAATTTGCTAAAGTTACTCACCTGGTAAATGGTGGTGCTGGGACTTGAACTCTGGTCTCAGGAGTCCCAGGCTTGAGCCTATCAATGCTGTCCTGGCTCCATTTGGAAGTTGGAAGATGAGCAGAAGTCTGGGGTCCCAAAAGACCACCACCTCCCCTACCACCCTCCATAGTCTGTCTCCTGCTATAGTCCCCAGCCTGGGCTCTGATTTTTTTTTTTCTGGGACAGAGCAGAGGACTCTTGTCCTGGCCATATCTGTAGAAGGTCTTTGTTCAAACCCAATGGGATGCCTGGACTCAGCCTGTCTGGTCTTTTCCTGGGTGCCTGTGGTCCCCACCCCTCCCCTTCTCTGGCATTACTGCCTTATCATCTCCCAGAGGCCTTCAGGAAACCCCACTTTGATGGGTATTTGCATTTTAACAGGGACTCTAGACCCAGAGGGCTTTAAAAGTCCTCAGAGCAAAATTTAGTGGTAAAATGTACAGAGGAAGCCCCCAGGACAATCTGACAGAGTAAAATGCCTTGGGCTGGGCCAGCCTCTGAGCCTGGAAGACACAGAGCAGAACAGGACCAGCTGGTGGAAGCTGCCAGGAAGCGGCTCTGGGATAAGAGGCTTTTCAGCTGAGTGATCTGAGGGCGAGGGCCAGACTCCAGTGTAAAGTAGACCTACATTCAAATCCCCCCCACACCCTACTGCCCCACCTTCATGCCCACTGCTGCCTCAGGGTCCTGGTACTAAGAAGCTACCTTTTGGCATCTTTTGGGACTGACCGTGGCTCTGAGGAGGGATGGCTCCCGGCCTGAAGTGGATAGGCAGTGCCTAACCTGGGCTGCTGCTTCCACAGAAGAGTGCCTGGAGCTGGTGGCCTGGAGAGGCAGAATGCACCCACATCTGGATGGCTGTGACATGGCCCCTCTGAGCTTGTCTGTCTCCTACATTTAAGGCCAAACTCCACCTCAGAGTCACAGAGCTGTGAGGCTGCCAGGTGATCTCCCCAGGAGCAGGGGCAGGGATTGTGGGCTTTGCCTTGAGGCCTACGTCTGATCTGAGGGCTGACTGAGCTCATCACATAGGAAGCCCCTTATGCACCTCTCCTGGGGACCTTCCACCCAGCTCCCCACCAAACACAGGGCAGGTTGGCCAAGTGGGCTACCTGAGGCAAATTGTTGGATACCAAGGGCTTTCCCAGGAGATAGGGAGGATTCTTTTCTGAACCTGGGGCTACAGAGCAGAGACCAGGGCTTGTAAAATCTAGTGTGAGGCAGCTAAGGATCAAGGCCAGGATCTATAGCCTGCAGATCTGACCTACCCTGCCCTGCCTCACCCCACCCCACCCAGCCTGTTCTCTCTACACCTCTAGCATGTACTCCTGCCGTCTTCTGCTAGGCTCCCTGGCACATGCCCTTTCTCTTCTGCTTGGACAAAGCTCATTAAAAAAACAAATCCAAGCCGGCAAGTCAAATCTGACTCACAGCAACTCTTTAGAATGGAGTAGAGCTGCTCTGAAGGCTTTCCAAGGCTGCAGTCTCTACCGAGGAGCCCTGATGGCACAGTAGTTAAAGCACTAGGCTGCTAACTGAAAGAATGGTGGTTCATCAATCTTTCCATAAGGATTTACAGTCTTGGAAATCCTATGGGGCGATTCTACCCTTTAGGGTCGCTATGAGTTGGAATCGACTTGATGGTAATGGATTTTTTTATTATTATTCTTTCTTAATCTTTACAGGTTGCCACATCTTTCTCCTACAGAGTGGCTGGTGGGTTCAAACTGATGACCTTACAGTTAGCAGCTGGGTGCTTAACCACTGCACCATCAGGGCTCTTAATTTTTATTGTGATTTGGGTGAAAGTTTACGGAGTAAATTCCTTTTCCATACAGCAGTTCATACACATTTTGTCTCATAAAGTTGACTGCAACTCCCCACATTGTAACAGCTCTCTTTGCACTTCCTCCCCATAGTTACCTCTCCCCTATGTCCTTCCCTCCCATGCACTCCCACCTCCAAGCTGTCTCCCTTGCAAATACTGCCCTTCTATTCTTGCACAATTTATCACTCCAAGGAGTATATCTACCTGATGTAAATGTTCACCCCATATGCCTGTCTTTTGTTTGGCTGGAAGCCACAGGAGTAAATTCATTTCCAGACCTGAAGGGTAGTTAGGGACCATAGTCTCAGGGATCTCACCAGGTTCTATCAGACCAGCAAACCTGGTCTTTTTTTTATGATTTTGAGTACCACTGGGGCTCTTTACAAACCCTGTAGTCTACTTCTAATGATCTGATTGTCCCCTGGGGCCCTGTCAGATTCCCTTTTTCACGGAGCCTCCTGTCATCAGCCTCCAAACTGCTTCAGCTCGGCCTTCTCCATTTGGGTCTTTGCTAATTCCTCCACTTGGGCTGTCTCTTCAAGAAGTCCCCCAGATGGCCTCTTTCTGGAGCCACACAGAGGTCCCTTCATGGAAGTGACAGGGGAAGATAATTACGAGAAGTCTTATCTGTGGTTTGGCTCCAAGCCATTCCTTGCTTGCCACTTATACGTGTTGTCTCATTTACTGCTTCCAATAGCATCCTGAGACTGACATTGTGCTCATCTTCAAGCTAGGGGAACTAAAGCTTGGAAAAGTTAAATAGCTTTGCTCAGGGTTACATAGCTAAAACATCATGTTCAGCCTCAGTGTTGAGCCGGATTCCAGGACTCTAAGCCTGATTTCACATCTTTCCTGTAGCTCTGATTGTCACTGTTCTTCCTAGTGGTCCTGACTTTGGCTCTGTGCTCAGAACTGGACTCAGCCTAGAGCGTCCTAGAGTCAGGCTCCCTCGTCCTCCCTGGCCAGCCATCTCCAGGTGATGCCCTTCCATGCCTCACTGGGCCCTGGCCCTCTCTTGTCTTCCAGTGGCCTGGAGAAGGACAGCAGCTTCGGTGAGGGCCTCACACTGAAAAAGCAGAGCGGCATGCACCTGACTCTGCCTGACGCCCACGAGGCTGACTCTGGTAAGGAACATGCTGGGGTGCCCCCTTCACATAGCCCCACAACCCACCCTCCTGGCCTGAAGGTACCAACAGGCAGTATGGCATCTTGGGAGAGCCCTGCCCAGCTAGCCAAATGCTACTGCTCCTTCATGCCCACTGCTGCCTCAGGGCCCTGGTACTAAGAAGCTACCTTTCAGTGTCTTTCGGCACTGACCATGGCTCTGAGGAGTGATGGCTCCCGGCCTAAAGTGGATAGTTAGGAGCAGGAGTGGTAGGCAAGAGAAAAACTTGTACCTCCTGTGGGTGGGAGTGAAGGCGGGGGAAGATGAGTGTGGAAAGATGGCTGTGGAACACAGAAACTATTTCTCCTTGAGGTAAAGTTTCCTAATCTCAGTAAATTGAGTCAAATAGAAAGGAATGGCTTGAGCTTATATTTACAACTCTCAAGTTCAAAGTGGACTTTTTCCTGCTAAAATCCATCCTGAAATCTAAGGCATAGGAAATTCAAATGAAATCAGGAACTGCAAATTCCCATTTTTCAACTTTTTTAAAAAAATGTTTAAAAATATTTTTGGTGAATGTTGTTCTTCACTTCTGTGGACATGAGGCAACCTGCACCTTCGTTTCCAAGTGCTGGTGTTGATTCCACAGCCAAACCTAGCGCTTTGCTTGACTTCATAGGCCCCTCTCAGGAGTGCCTGCGCTCTGTGCAGCTGCCTTCTTCTAGGAGGGCACAGCTACAGAGGGAGTACAGAACCTGTTTGGCACAAGCTGAGGTTAGCAGCTGCTAATGTAAAGGTTGGTGGTGTGAACCCACCCAGCAGCTCCACGGAAGAAAGGCCTGGATATCTGCTTCCATACAGATTACCAAGAAAACTCTGTGGAGCAGTTCTGCTATGTAACACACGGGGTCCCCATGAGTCAGGCCAACTTGGTGGCTGCTAACCACAACAGCCACCTTGCAGTTAAAAGGAGCCGTGGGCAGAGTTATTCGGACCCACTACTCTTGTCTTAAACTAACATTGCCCTGAGTTTATCAGAGCCGGTATTACCTATGAGAGTGACAGAAAATTGCTCGCATTTCACCTGCATGAGAATTGTAAATCTCAGCAGTTTACATATCCTGAGTAGGGCCCAGGACACCCAGAACCGCTGTGGGGAGAGGCTTCAGGGGGCACAGGGTCTGATCTGAGCTGCTACTCAAGAAACCTTCACTGTGCAACTGTGAATGGGGCTTTTTATGTGAAACAGTAACATATAAACGAAAAGTAAAAATAGCAAAAAGAAAAACCAGCCATAATTTAACCACCCCAACCTCTAGAAATGAATGGTCTTTCAAACTTTTTCCTATGCCCATACTTTTAACAAAAATGTGACCCAACTCTTTTAGAACCTGCTTTTTTCACCTAACTGTATAATGCAAGCATCTTTCTACATTGATATCCATATATTGTAATGAATACATAAACCAAAACCCAACGCACTACCATGGAGACCATTCTGACTCATAGCAGCCCCCACTGGGTTTCCAAGGCTGTAAATCTTCATGGAAGCAGAGTACCTCATCTTTGTTCCATGGCGAGCCTGGTGGGTTCAGACCACCAGCCTTTTGGTTAGCAACCAAATGCCTTAACCATTATACCACCAGAGCTCCTTGTTGTTGTTGTTGTTGTTGTATGCTGTCGAGTCGGCCCTGACTCATAGCGACCCCTCCTTAGGTTTCCGAGGCAGTATCACTACGGAAGTAGGATTGCCCAACCTTCCTTCCAAGGAGTGGCTGGTGGGTTTGAACCGCCAGCCTTCTGGTTAGCAGTCAAGTGCTTTAGCCACTATGCTACCAGAGCTCCTTCGTGACTACATAACCTTATTTGTATAATTATGCCCTTATTTATTTTTAATCAATCCCTATTGTTAGATATTAAGGTACCTTTTTTTCTCCCCCACTATTACAGGCAGTAGCATAGATTCTGCTGCTCAACCCCTTTCCCTCTTGCTCTGCAGGCTCTCAACGGGCATCATCCATTGCAGCCTCCCGGCTGGAGGAGGCCATGTCAGAGCTGACCATGCCCAGTTCGGTCCTGAAGCAGGGACCCATGCAGCTGTGGACCACACTGGAACAGATATGGCTGCAGGCTGGTGAGTGCTCTGGCCCCAGCTGCAGGCCACCCAAGCTTTCAGAGTCCTGTCTTGTCCTTTGGGGATATGAGGACCCCTGATGAGGTTTACCTGGGGAACAGAGTGCTTGTAGAAACGGCTAGGGGTCAGGAACCTGGAGCTCAAGTTCCAGCTTTCTCTTGTTTGCTTCCGGACAAGTCACTTAGTCCGTCTGGCTGTCGGTTTCCTCATCCATCAAATGGAGACATACCTGCCTGTCTCCCTTAAAGTGGTTCTGTGGCAGCAAATACACATATGAGAGGACTTAAAGTCATGAAATCCACTCAGATGGATAGTCTTTTTAGTCTCAAACACAGCCCCATCTCTCCTTCTTGGCCATCTTCTCCTGAATAAAACTACAAACCCCAGAGAGCTCACGGAGTAGCTAGAGAAGGAGGTGGGGCCTGGGGGCCTCAAAGGAAGTGGAGCCTGGTTCTGGAGTTCATTAAGGGCAAATAACTGGTGACAGTGAGGTTACCATTCAGGGGAGGTGACTAATTGGTGATAGTCTCTCCAGATAACTGATTGGTACCCTTGCCACCATGGAGTTTGAAGGTTTCTTTGTGTTGGGGAGGTAGGTTGAGTTTTTGAAGATTAGTGAATGTTGAGGAGACAGGCTCCATAAAGCCCCAGCTTCAGTCACACAGACCTAGATTCTGATACCAGCCACTGCTGGCCAGTCCCCATCTCTTTGGAGGCTGGTTTCCTCCCAGGCCTATAATGGTGGAATGAGCTGAGGGGGTGTGTTTGCACTGTGTGTGGCTTGGTAAGTGGTGCTGGACTTCTGTGGCTGTGTCGCTTGTCATCGTGGTAGGGAGGACATGCACCACAGATACGAGCACCCTTGATACCTCGCTGAGTGGGAATGAGGGACTCACCAGAAGGCAGTGTTTGAAACTTTAATCTGATGGTGGTATGAGAGGTCAGTTACAGCAAAAAGAGGGAGAGAACCAAGGGCACAGATGGTAAGTGCCTGAATGAACTAAAATGGCAGCAGAAGAGAAATAAAGGGGAAGATGATACGATAAGGCAGATCCTAAAAACATGCCCCTTGATCTCGTACTGCCCACATGACACTCTGAGCACAGGAGTGCCTCTTCATCCTTTTTCTGATTACTTTCCTATCTGTCCCTCCCCCCAAGGTGGTGGTGCTGGTAGTCTGAGGGGAGACAGAAAGTAGTAATCACTTACTGGAACTTGTGGATTTGGCAAGTCAGAGTTAGAATGTGCTTGTTAACTGAAAACTAAGATTCCTGTGACACGTATTTCACATGTGGACACATTAGTATACAATGTGCCACCCCCGTCCCCAATTCTACTGCTGAAAGTTCTGAATCTGGCAGGGGAAGGAAATTGAACAGGGATTCACAGGAAGGCTAGACATAGAAGCATTTTAATAATGTAAAGATTGCCCCAGTTAACACAGGAGAGTCGCTTTGATGTGAGAGAGATGTGGGGGCTGCACTCAACAGCTTATTGCATCTTAAGTAGAGAAAGGAAATGTTGAAAACTCAAAGGAATAATAAGCAAGGTACCCCTCTTAGGCAGAGATACCCTGTCTTCTAAGGCACTGGGGGCTCCCAGTGAGGCAGACTGAGGCCAGCACCTGCATGTGCCTTGGGTAGAAAGCTGCCCTAAACAGGAGCATCCCAACTTGAGGAAACGTGGCTGTGTTCCATAGTGATCCAATCCCAGAGCTGCATGCTGCCTACACTGGAACTCCCAAGGCCTGCCATTTTAATGTTTGCTTCGTTTACTACATCAGCAGATGAAAATATTTTTGCGTGTCACCATCCTGTTTGCATTTCTCAGACACACTGCTGAGTGCCAGAGATGCTATTATGTTCTGGTAAACTCCCAAGTAAGGTGAAAGCCCCTCCTGACAAGCCTGTAATTAGGCTTGGGAATATCAGTACAAACATATGCCTTTCAATAATTTGTGCTTAGCCATTCTTCTGTGGATATTATCCTAGATGTAACCTCACAGATGAGAACTGAGAACAGAATCTGAATGCTTTGAATGTGGTGCCAAGTAAGGGTTGGGCTGTGTGGTATTAGGAGGTAGGTTTGAGAGCATGTAACAGATCCAGAATAGCAGTGGCTTATACAAAGTGGACATTGTTTTTCTCTCCTGTAACAAAACAGAGATGACAGCCTTGGCTGATGTGATAGCTTTGCTCTCCTGGGTCCAGGGCCCCGGGCTCCTTCCTTTTTTGTTGTTGTTGTTGTTTTGGCTGTTATCCCTAGGATATCACTTTTACCCATGTGGTCCAAGATGGATCACCACATTCACAGTCCAAAGCAGAAGATAAACTGGCAAGACGGCATACCCCTCCCTATAAGGTCATGTCCTAGAATTTGCACACATCACTTCACAGCATAATCCATTGGCCAGAACTTAGTCACATGGCCAAACCTCATTGCCGAGGACTCTGGGAAACATCATTATTCTCATTATGCCCCATTGGAGTCCCGGGGTGATGCACCTAGTTAATACACTCAGCTGGTAAGAGAAAGGTTGGAGGTTCGAGTCTACCCAGAGGCACCTCAGAAAAAAGTCCTGGCAATCTTCTGAAAAATCAGTGTTAAAAAACCCTATGGAGCACAGTTCTACTCACACACAAGTCACCATGAGTTCGAGTCAACTCGACAGCAACTGACTTTTTTTTCTTTTTTAATTGTGATTTGGGTGAAAGTTTACAGAGGAAATTCATTTTTCATACAGCAGCTCATACACATTTTGTTTCATGACATTGACTACAATTCCCCACAGTGTAACAGCTGTCTTCCCACTTTTTCCCTATAGTTAACCTCTTCCCATTATCCTTCTTTTCTGTGCGTTCCTGCCTCCCAAGCAAACAACTGTGCAAACACTGTCCTTCTGTTCTCCCATGATTGATCAGATCACTCTAAGGAGTGTATCTACGTGATGTAAATATGCACCCTATATGCCTGTCTGTTGTTTGGCTGGAAGCCATGGGAATGAGTTCAGTTCCTAACATGAAGGGTGACTAGGGGCCAAAGTCTCTGGGGGTCTCACCAGTCTCTTATCAGACTGTAAACCAGGTCATTTTTTTATGATTTTGAGTTTTGTTCCACATTGTTCCATTGTTCTCCCACTCTATCCAGGATCTTAATTTTTTTTTTTTTTTTTTTTAACACGTCCCATTAAAAGTCAGGGATCAGTGTATAAGAAGGGAAGAATAGATTTGGTGGCAGCTACCATAGCCAGGAAGGGGGAGTGAGAAGGCCCTAGGTCTTCCATATGAGCGTGGGAAGGTTCCAGAGCACTTTACACTGTGTGAACTCTCTCCCTTCCTTTGGCCACTATCATTACCATCATCACGAGCTGGCATCTACTGAGTACCTGTTGAATGAAGGGCTGCCAGGAACAGATCACCAAGGCAATGCCCTCTCCCTAAACCCACCCCTGCCTGCCCCAGGTTAAGAATGTTGTCATCAGCACCCCCACTCCCACCCTCCTCTGCCTAATGATTCCACCAGCTGCAGCAAATTTGCAGGAAGAGGAAAAGCACCCTTTATCATTTTGGAATGGGCTAATCTCACTGGTCTGGCTTAAGATAAATTGCATTTCAATCTGTTTCAGCAGTTAAGTTCTATCATGAATTCACTCTTTGGTTGGGAAATGTCACATCCTTCCTCTCCCAACTCTTGTCTTCCCCTCCTCCCCCTTCAGGCCTCCCTCCCACTTCAGTGCAGTATGAGAAAGCCTCACAGGCTCTCCAATTCTCAGACACATCGGGAGTGCTGCCTTTTTGACAGTGGGGCTGTGAGAATTGGGGAGGCACCGTGCCTCATAGTGGCCCCAGGATCCTGAGGTCCCAAAGTGCTTTCCAGAGGAGTTGGCTGCCCCTTCCCCTCTGTTCACAGCCACTCACACCTATTGGAGGGGGCATTGTGCCAGAGAGAGGAAATAGATGTAAGGAGAGCTCACCTGCACTGGAGGCCCAAGGGATCATGGGCTGTCTCTGGTTGGGGGAAGCTGGTCCGAGTCAGCTCCCAAATGCCCCATTCATACTAGTGCCCTGGCTCTGCAGGTGGGCCTGTGGGTGGAGGCTATCGGTAGAAAGGCTGGGCATGTTGGAGAAACAGAGATGGGGCACCCAGGCCTGTCCATGTTTACTATATGGACATAGTTACGGGTATATTTATTATAAAATTATAGTCAAAGGAGAAACTGTTTCTTCCTTTTGGCACTTCACGCTCCTCTATACTTTGTGTCCCTCTTTCCACTTGTCTTTTCCTTGTCTTCCGTCACTCTCCTTTCTTTTACCAGATCTTTACCCTTCTCTCTCCTTCCTGTCTTTAGCCCCTCTTCCTTGCTCTGCCTGTATCTACTTCCCTCCCTCTCTGCCCATCATCCCCTCCTCCCAACTTCCTGAATCCCTAAAGAGAGCATACTCAGGACAGGAAGTCAAGATCCCAGGCCCACACAGCCTCCGACTCCCTCAGGACCTTACACAAATTATGTCCCTTCTCTAGGTCCCCGTGGTCTACACCAGGAAGGTAGAGGGTCTTAGATGAACCTGCAGAATCCTTTAGACCTTTGAAGTCTCTGCGTTGTATCACTGGTCTTTCTCTCTTGCAGCTCTCCTGGCCCTCTCCCTTATTCCTCCTTCCCTTCCCCTATGCTTACCTCTGCCTGATTCTAGTATCCAAATGCTCTGAGGGTCTGTTTATGGGAAAGGATACTTATTTCCTTTTGGGGGAAGTTTTGATGACTGCACTGGAGGTCAAGGCTAGCCAAGGCTGGATTCTTTCTAGGGCCTAACCTTATTTCCCTCCAGCCCCCTGGGGCCTCTGGGCTCTTACCCTGATGGCTCCCTCTCTTTTCTGAGGTCTCAGGGGAGGTTCTTCCTAGGGAGCATACCTCACTTGGTGAAGCCCCAGAAAGGCCTTACATGTAGCCTTGGGCTCTCCCTCACTCTGCTTAGCTCAAGGCCAGCCTGCAGGCAAGCCTT